TTGAAAAACGCTGCACCAGAAACCACAACAGCAATGAAGCACTTTTATTCTGTTATCTGTACCTGTCTTGCCTAGTTGGACCCAGTCATCAGTAAAGTTTGTATTTGAAATTGTTAACTGAAAAGAAATATTAAAAAGTGTCAGACAAAACAAAGGTTTGGGGAAAATCTTTAGCCAAGCTAAGAATGTTCTTTTCTCAACATCTTGACTTGTTAATAATGTGGTCATTCTCCCCACCTACTGGAAGTGAACTGGTATTTCGAGTTTTTGTAAGAATTGTGGATTTTTCTGAATTTATGTTGTGTTCTTTGTGGACTTTTGAAATTGTAGTAGTTTTACCCTGAATTTAACCCCATACTTACTTCTTTTCTTTACTCTGTTTTTCTGTTCTCAGGCCTCAGCCACAGATTTCGTTGGGCAACAGCCCAGGAGGCGTAGGAGTTTACCCCGGTGCAATAACTATGGCAACGGCCACACCGTCCCCACACCTGACCTCAGACTGCTCAAGCAACTCGGTCAGCCCTGAACCCAACATCCCCGTCATCCAGAGCACGTACGGGCTGAAGGCGGAGCCCTGCGGGGGCGGAGCCAGCAACGGAGGTGGCGTCGGAGTGTTGGATCTGCCCAGCGACCCCACCAACGGAGACGAAGACATGGACATGTATGAGGACTTTGACGATGAGCCCAAATCAGACTATAGCAGCGACCACGAGACGCGGGAGGCCGTCAGTGCCAACTGAACGCAAGACGGGCAGGAGGGGCAGTGTGCCAGGCGCAAAAAAGAAAAGAACAATTCTCCTCATGAACAGAGACGTATCTTGGAAGCCATGTTTTTCAGGTGGATTTTCAGGACACGTGGCTTTGTTTACTGAGCTCTGTGGATACGAGTCTGCAGAGATGCTCAAAAGCTTGTTGAGCAGTATGTTGACGAAGAGGCCTGACGAGGTAACGTAACCTCAACAATCATTTAGACAACCCAGCTGACAACGAACTTTACTTTCCCTCACTTTGACAATCTTCAAAAAGAGTGATAAGACTTCAACGGGGAGAGAATGAGACAGAACAAATGAGCAGCGAACACATGAACTGTGTGGTTTGTAAAGAGAGTGCATGAGTTTTTCAAGCATTACAAACTACTCTTTGACAGCTATTTGGTCTTAAATGTTTAAAGAGTGTGTTGGTTTCATTATTATGTATTTACTGTTTGCATTTTTTTTCTTTTTCGTTTTGTTTTCTGTTTGATAAACTTCTCTGAGAGGTCACTGCCTGTACCAACTCTGGACTGTCGGAACTTGAAATTGGGAAAGTTTTTAATATAAATTCTAGCTCTGGTGATCTTATAGTCTTACATTTGTTCTGGGGAAAAGCATCAGTGCTACAATCTTTTTTTCTGACAAACTGCTTACATTACATTACTGTTAGATTATATATATATATATATATATAT